AACGCCTCAAGTGTCTTCACTACTGGGGAAAGGAGAGTTATCGGGCGATAAGACTCCCCTTTGTTGGCGGGTTTCCCAGGCTTCAGTAGTGGGACCACTCTTCCGACTTTCCACACATCGGGTATTTGAAGAGTGGCCATCGACAAGATGAGGACCTTGGTGAAGTAGCTTACTCCCGTCGAGCCTAGATGTTTTAGCATCAGCATGCTTATTCCGTCAGGGCCATTGGAATTGAACGATTTGGCCTTTGTGATGGCACTCTGAACCTCCCCATCGGTGAAAGTAAGTGGTGCGCAGTCTTTTAGCGTTTTGCGCAGCCGTCGGGTAACACATCGTTTGGCCTTGTCAGTCGAAGGGTGCAGTGTAAACTGCCGGCTAAAATAGCTCTCGCACTTCTTTGGGTCCGAGGAGGCATGGCCATCGAATTGAATGTCAACCCAATCATCATATCTCCTTGGATTTGACAGCGCCTTGACAGTAGTCCAAAGCTTACTTACACCGGTGGAGAGGTTGCAGGACTTCAGGTGCTCTATTCATTTGCCGAATCTCCAAATTGAGATCCCTTATTCGGCGATCACAGGGATCGGCATGACGTAAGGTGTCGAGCTCGTTTGCTAGTACAGCTGCTCGGCTGGGAAATTAGGGCGGAGTTCCGCGATTCTTCCAGCCGGTATAAAGCGAGCAGTAGCAGTAGCGATCACCTTGTGGAATTGACGCTTGCAAACGATGACGTCCGTAGGAATGGGTAGTGCGTAGAAGGTGCGCTCGGTAAATTCTGTGAAGCCGACCCAGTTAGCTTTGTTAAAGTTAACAAAAGTGCGGTTATCCACAGAAATAAAGTCGGGTGGTTTCTCGATCGAGATAACTATGGGCAGATGGTCTGATGCGAGAGTTAGCATAGGTCGCCAGGTTATACTATTTATCAGACTACCGCTAGCGATGGTAATATCTGGCGAGCTATTACAGGTGCCCATAATTCTGGTGGGGGCTTTGTCATTCATTGTACAGAATTTCAATCTGTTCCGCCAGCTCCATCCCCCTACGATCGTTTGACGGGCAGGAATGCCAAAGATCGAGATGCGCGATAAAGTCGCCTAGCACCAAACGGTTTTCACCACGAAGTGGCGCATCTATGTTCGGGTGATATCCTGTTGGGCAACATGTAACTGGGGCGATCTATATATTAAATATTACGTTTTTGGTAAGACTGGGAGTCATGCTGTCTGTGTGAGCTCCTTAGGGCCGTGGAGGTCCTATCTTGGCCACTCGACTGGAGTAGCGGTGCAGTGCACGAACATGGTGCAGGTTGCAGAGCCGTTGAGGCAGATGTCGCAGTATTGCATCGACAGCATGGGGCCACGTAACTCGTGGTCTACTCCCTATGTGTCTTAAGGCCTGAACAGGTCTTAAGATGGCTCCATCGATTGCATGTATTGCACCTAATCGAGGTGGAGTTTGGATCGAGCCTTCTAGCGCAAACGCAGCAGTAAAATTCCTCGGGGCCCGGGTTGGACTCGATGCCAGCACGGAGCAACCCTGCTGATAGGCGTTGCTCCAATGACGACAAATTTAACCTAGAACTTACCGATCCAAACAGGGTAAGATCGCCGAAATAACAGTCCTTAGCCGGATAAAATCCGGGTCAATTCCGGTAACGTGGAACCGGCTGTTGTGGGAATCGTTTTTATCTTTTCGCAACATGTGGCTACAGAGTATAATACTTTTGTTCAACTAACGGTGGTTTATATCACCTAACAATAATCTAGTTATATATAGGGTTATACTTGTATATATGTATAAATAGTGCATTCGAAAGTAAACAGGACTTTAAAAAAAAAAGACAGAACAAATGGTTTTATCGGCAAAATCAATTAATTTTATTAAAAATAGTCTCCTTCTGCTGAAATACAGCTCTTTGCACGGTCCAAACGCATGTCGAACGAGTGTTTGAGCTTGTTGCCCGGTATAGCCGCCAGTATGCCGGTGCAAGCCTTTTGAATGGCCTCCACGTCTGCATAACGCTCTCCTTTCATCGGCAAATTCCGAACAGATAGAAGTCACACGGTGCTATATCAGGTGAATACGGGGAGTGGTTGATTGTCAAAATGTGATTTTTGGTCAAATAATCGGCCACAAGCGTCGATCGATGAGACGGCGTATTATCGTCCAACAAACGCCAACCATCCATCTTCGCGATGTTCGGGCCGAACACGTCGAATACGGCGAATACCAAACGCTTCAAAACTTCAAGGTAAAATACCGCATCAACGTTTTGGCCGGGCGGAACAAATTCTTTGTGGACAATACCCTTGGAATCATAAAAACAAATCAGCATTGTTTTCACTTTTGACTTCTCCAGCCGCGATTTTTTGGGTTTCGGCTCGTCCGGCGCCTTCCATTCAGCACCCTGGCATTTCGTTTCGGGATCATATTCGTCTCGGGTCTTTTTTTGACGCTTTAACACTGTCCTTCGAATGTTGAATTCTGAGCAATTTTTGGTCGTCAGTCAATTTGTGCGGAACAAACCGTGCACACACCTTTTGTAAGCCCAAATTTTTTAAACCCTTCTTATAATATTGTGAAAATATGTGAAATCGGATGATAACTCCGCCCACTCCGCATATAACGGTTTTGTTAAAAATTGCTAAAAATGGTAAATCAATAATTTAATGCGTTAGAAACATTTAATTTTATAAGCAGGATGGCACAAGAACGCTTAGATTAGATAGAAGAGACAAGATTAGAATATGAAGTTTTGCACTGCGACCAAGGGTCTATTGCGCCCTCCCCTCCATTACATGCATTCCTAAAGTCCCAGTACCCTGAAAAACTCCAAAAACTTGCTGGGTGCTATTGAGGCAATGCGATCCCTGTCCACATAAATGGAACCGAGGGCCTTGAGCCTGCGTCTACAAATTGCGGTGCAATCTAGAATCAGGTGTTCTGGTGTTTCCGGCCCATGTCGCAGAACCAGACAAATGTCTCTGGGGAGGTTTATCATAGCTCTGAATCTGGCTAGATTGATCCCTCCCAGTAGCAGTTTAGCACGACTCATCCCTGTTGCTTGCTGCCAGTGACTACCTCTGCTCGCTCTCTCCTCCATGCGGACCACCTCCTTTATTGTATGGGGCTCCACCGCAATACATGGTTCTGGCACCATCATTGTTGAAGCAGCAGCATAGTGGGCGAGTTCGTCTGCCAACTCGGTACTGACTACCCCTCTATGCTCCGGCAGATCAGGTGTACACAGTTGCAAGCTGATAGGCGGTTCAGCCTTCCTATGCACTCCTCCACTAGTAGCGATCGAATCTCGTAGGCCGATATCGCTTTTAGCACCGCTTGGCTATCGCTGAGTAAAGCGATAATCTTATTACGGTAGTTGCATTGGAGATTTACAAGTATTACTGCACACTGACTTATGGCAAATACTTCTGCCTGAAAGATTCTCGGAAAACAACCCATGGGAATGGAAAGCTTGGTATGCGGTCCCGCAATGCCAGCTCCAATTCTTTCCGCTGTTTTCGAGCCGTCAGTGTACCACTGAATAGTGCTGCCTCTCAGCAGTTGGTCGAGCATGTAATCGCTCCAGTCCGCCTTACTGCCGAGAGTAACTTTAAACTTTTTCGTAAATTTTACCCTCTTCGTTACGCCGTCACTTGAAGGAAGGGCCAGTGGCTTCCCTTTTCCATACCCCACTGCTCTCATAAGAAGCAAGGTATGCTTCGCAGTCTGTATAATAACTAAATGGAGCGGTGTGAGCTCTAGCATGACCTCAAGTGCTGCGGTGGGGCAGGTGCGCATTGCCCCAGTGGCGCAGACGCATGCAAGTCTTTGCAGCTTCGATAGTTGAAGATCTATCGAAGTCTGCAATGCTCTCGATGCCCAGACCACCGCTTCATATTTTATCGTAGGCCTATTGTTAGGCCTTACGATCATGGTGTACAGCCACCTGATGATACTAGGCTTGCAAACCCAGGATCTGCCGGCCAGGCATCTGCACACCATGAGTGCCTTTGTGGCTTTAGATAGCGTTAGCTCCATGTGCCTATCTCACCGCAAGGTCGAGTCTAGTGTGAGACCTAAGTATTTAACTTCCCTAGACACTTATAGCTCTCTGTCATCAAGGGATAGAGCTCTAAAGCCCTGAAGAAATCTTCTTTTTGTGAAAGGGATGACGGTTGTTTTTAACTGGTATGTAATACGGCCTTAATCCATCTGCATATAGGAGCTTCCACGTTCCTTTTCTCCAGTGCTCTGATCACGCTTGCGTGGGACGTATTATCAAAAGCACCTTCAATGGCTAAGAAATCACATATCGCAACCTCATTATTATCCAGCGAGTTCTGGATCTCAGCTGTTAGTTGGTACTGAACAGTGTTAGTAGACTTACCGCAAGAGGGCTTTATAGGAGCCGGTGTAAAGATTGGACGATGGGTGTGGCACCGCCCACTTTTAGGTGAAATCATCTATCTCGGGACCTGCTAAACCGATTTCAACCAAATTCGGTACATAACATTATTATAATATTCCAATGTCAAAGTACTAAAATGAAAGAAATCGGACTACAATCACGCATACTTCCCATATAACAATTTTATTTAATTTTATTTAATATAAACTTTTTTATTAAATATAAAGAATTTTTAACTTCCGGCAGACTATACCGCATATATCGGCCAATATGTGAGTTATCTTAATGAAAATGAGAAAGCTTATTTTACACAGTATATCTTGTGCCTAAAATGTCCGGCTGACTTTACTCCATATATATTGGTGATGGTATGTGAGGTACCTCAATGAAACACTGGGAGCATTTTATTAGTACGCGGCATGTTAATAGTATGTGGTATTGGTAAAACTAGATAAAATCGGGGCAATACTACCCCCAACTTCTACATACTACTTATAATGATTTTCGTTTTTCTAACAAATTTTATGCCGAATATTTCTTCCAGTGTGCAAGTTACATATATAGTAGTAGTATGCTTGAGCAATATCCAAATTAATGCAATCAGTTCGATCATTCCTATCATTTGTGGATTTATTTCTACGTTCTCTGGTTACAGTCGCATTTTTGGCTATGGTGTACATCTACGAGGATTATAGAATGCTTTTGGCTTTTAAACTTATGTGTTTATATTAATAAATCTACAGGCTTATACCAGAGAATGTTAATGAATTTTATTATAATTATTCATTAACATTCTCTTATAACACCATAACAGTTAAGGCATAAACCATCGACCATAGTCAAAGAAACTATCGATAGTGAGAGGAAAATAAAACTATCGATTATTTTGTAGCTCTAATTTTTCGCATTCCTCTTATTTATTTAGGGGAGTATTTTGTTGATAAACAAAATTACGGGTCAAGATATATACCTTCCTCTTGGTTTCCATTGATTCGTTTAATATATTACAGAATGGAGGATAATATTGTTGAGTTTATATATAAATATAATAATCATGAAAACAAAGAATGTGAAGTAAGTATTAATATTGAGCTTCCTTTTGAACGTGGGGATGAATGTCTGGACGAGTTAGTTACACGCCTATTAAATGATATGGAGACAATGCAGCGTTACTTGGATGAGCACAAAAGTAAAAAGATATGATAATAAAATATAAATGCAGATACATATATACTTAAATTATATTGTAGAGGTAAAATCGGCTTTAAGAAAGTTCATAATAGATGCAAATCAAATTTATTTGGATAAGTTTGCCGAGAGACTTTTTGAACATGCAGGGAATAATGAGCTTGACTTGGAAGCAGTGATACGTAAGACGGAACGACAATATAAAGATGAAATAATACAATTCGCAGATCGCATTGGACCAAGCGACGAGGATATATTCGCTCAAAGTTTCCATAGGTAAATTCTTTACAAATTAAAATATCTTTATACTGCCTGAATGTTTTATAATATGGTCCTAAGGTTGGTACACTCATCTTCGCTAGAGGAAATTTTGAGGCGTGAAAGAGCTTATGCGAAAGTTATTTCAGATATGAACACTGTGATGGATGAAGAAGTTGAAACTCTTAACTCAACACAGCAAAAAGAAATGGATATTAAAATTAAACAATTGGACATAACCACTACATCGGATGTATGTAATTTTGCCTTATATCTTATATTTTGTTAAATTACTTTAATGCTTACAGGATATAAATAACCTATTAGCACAACAATATAGCACCCAAAACTATATAAGACAACGATACGAGTCTGAGTTACAAGCGAAACGAGGTCATCAACGCAATGAGTATCGAGATTGGATTACGTGTCAAGTGGGCAAAATATTTGAGACATCTCCGGCAGCTACTCCATTAGGAAATCGCTCATCTATGTTTATATCACAACAGCCGTCGATGGAAGAAAGTTTCACAATACATTTAGGCTCCCAACTTAAGCACATGCATAATATACGCATATTAAGTGCCGATGTTACAGATCTCTGCAGTCCCCTGCATATTGATGAGAGGTAAAGTACTTGTTTTGAATTTAAATATATTTTAATATTTAAAACTTACGTGCAGTTTAAATGGATTGAATATGGCATTGGGCTTATATTCAAGTTCCCTTTGTGGTGTAGTTGTTCTTACACCGTCTATCCAGGCACAGGCCAATAGGAGTATTATTAAAAATGCCAACATGTCCACAGAGTTTCACTTCGAACAGGTAAAAAAGATAAACAATTTTTGAAATTATCCAAGTTCTAAAATTATGTTTTGCAGATAGACAACCAGCTGGAAAAAGTTGAAAAATTAATATGTAATCTCAGTGTTAATGAGTCGACGTCACCAAGTATGAACAGCAACAGTTCAGGACATGGAAATAATGATATTTCGCCGCCTACAGGTATAGTTTCGTCTGGTAGCGCTGGAGGCTCCCCAACTAAAATGCCCACAACAAAACTAAAAACTGGTGATTTCTTCATTACCAAACACTCGAATCTTTCGCAATCGCATGTTATTTTTCATTTGATTTCCGACGAACCCATCAATAGTCCTAGTGAGATTAATTCTCGCCATCCCGTTATATTGGGTTTACGTAATATATTAAAGACAGCTAGCCGACATGATGTTACGACACTAACAATACCTGCGCTGATGCGTCATGAAATGTCTGAGGATATGACAGTTCAGTGGTGCATGCGGAGGGCTGAGCTGGTGTTTAAGTGCGCCAAGGGGTTCATGATTGAATCGGCATCGTGGGGTGGTGCGGAACTGAGGTGAGTATTTTTTTTTAATATACTATCAAAATTCGATATTTCTAACTCCTATTGTTCTTTGCATTCTAGTACATTACAATTGCTTTTGCCATATGATATTTCAGAGGAACTTTTTACCACATTGGCGGGTATGGTGCCAAATGTGTTTCGAGTAGCCAATCCTAAGATACTTGTAGATAGCAATAAGTGAACTGTTTCTCAATTTGTTGAAGTATTTTTAAGTTTATTTTACTCAAACTAAAACTATAAACATTTTTAACGGCGAAACACCACGCAAATGCCAAAAATATGTTATGAATCAATCAATTGGATATTGTCTAACATTATACTTACTTGATTGTAATATATTACTTAACCAATTCAAAAACAAATATATTATATAATTACTTTATTTTTCTAGTAATCATCAAACTCTATTTGTTTTGTATATATTTTTTCTTAAACTTTTTATTAAATGAATTTTAAATTTTTCGTACGTTCCTCAGAATTTAAATTTAGTTTCAAACAATTACAAAGTCATGAAACATACATCAAGAACTTTTGTTAAATTTCCTGTATTACTGGCCCACAAATTCCAATAGGTGATAAAATAATTGTTTTTTTTTTTAATTCAAACATTATTAACTAGGGCATTTTAACTTTTGTAATTATGTTGAAATATACATAAATCATTTATGCATATTGCACACTAGCTACAAAAAGTCACAACTCAAGAATTTTCAAAATCGATTTTTTCCCATATATTAATTCGTAATACAGTTATTCCTACCCAAGAAATTTCATGGTCACCACTATCTCACTTAACTTTAAAATCACAGTTAGGTCTACTTTTGTGTTAATTGCGTGCAGTATCAACCAAAGAGTAGTTTTTGCAGCTGTGTCGCTATTGGCTAAATTAATCGTAAATTTTCTGCTGCGCTCTGCGAAGTTGTGTCTCTTTATCTGAAAAATAAGTGAGTTTAACATCCGTATTATTTGAAATGTCTCATTTTTGATCAAATAACTGTGATTATCACAGTGTTATTCGGTGATTCGACTGTTCCTTCGGTAGTCGGGTCAAGTAACCGGAACGCACCCGGATTTTTATCCGGCGAAGGACTGTCAAGTCGGCACCATTCTTCGAAAATACTTCAGCAACAATGACATCTTGTTAACTCAAAAAATATCTCTTAATTTCGCTATCAAACTCGAAAGTCAATCATATTTGAGTAAGATGCTCTTTAAAGTAGAAGATATTCTACATTATGGACGACCATTTTACTGTAAAATTTTAATAATTTTTACAGGAATTGATTTTTGCACCTCCTGCAAATTTGTAATTTTTCGAGTTGTGACTCTTTTGTAGTTGGTGTGCGATATATGTATGTCTCTGCATATGCATAGTGCTAAATGATTTTAAATATTTAATCTTTCTCCAGTTATCTCTTTTTTCTCTGATTTGTTATTTTCATATTTTTGTATATAGTATCTATGTATATGATGTTAACAGTAATTTACGTAACGTATTTCCACACAAACCAATGTCTTTAAATCTATTTAATGCAAAGATCGTTAGCTGCGTGCTTTGTAGCTAAGTACGTTAATATTTCTTCAATGTAATGGTTCAAATATACATAAGTTCATATGTACATAATTATTGGAAAAATCAATTTTTCAGTTTGTGTATTTTGTGAGAAAAAAGTGGTTTAAATAAAGACTATGTATAAGTACGACTATAACTGTATTATTATATGTATGTATGTGGTAAACCGCGCATGTAGCCTTATATCTGCAATATGTTTGTTTGTTTTGGAAAATGTGTTCATAGAAAAATAGTAATGCATCTGCGCATATATTTATATATATATATATTGTATAATTGTTAAAGATGAAAAATATATGTGATGAATAAGAGTCTGGCAGGCGGAACAGTGCCGCTATTATCAGCGGGTGTGGGGAAAGGCAAAACCAAAAATTTGAAGTAATGATTCAAACTACCAAGGAAATTTTCATAAAAAATAATAGTTTCTTAACAAGTGCTTTCTTGCTCTTTTAGCAGACTTGCTTTATTTCACCAGCAAGATCTCGTTAGTTATGCCTTCGTCTGGCTTCAACATATTGTTGTTAGCGCTTAGAATTTTTACACTAACCTAGTCAAAATAGTAATTTTACAATTCACAACGGCAAATTAGCGACGGGAAATAGCAAATTTATTTCGGATGCAATTATTATACCAAAGGGTGTTCATTGCAAGCAAAAAGCATCGTTGAATAAACTACTTAAGGGTTTTCAGAATATAATTGAGTTATGTTTGGAACTATCAATCATAATTTCAACAAATTTTTCTGTTTCACAAAATACTTATACAAGTAGATATCTGTTTGTATGTTTTATATTATATTCAAATGCATATTTGTTTGGTTGGAGTTTTGCCTTATTTGAAGTGTGATATTTTTCAACAAATTGTGCTGTAATATTTAAAGAGCATCCACCATGGCTTTTGAGACTGAAAGTTGTCTATTGAAAAAACTAACTAATTGTTTTTGTTATGCTAGGAAAACCTAACCAATAATAGAAGGTGCTGCTAATCCTTGAACGTTTCGCAACTAAAAAGAAAAAAAGTAATAATTCTCCAATGTCTCCTAAATTCTAAACCAGTAAACTTATGGTATAATACACATTCTAAAATTATATAATCCAGTGAAATAATAAACGATAAAGTAAAGATGTTTTTATTTCATATTCCCAGTTTTAATCGCATATGCTGTACTTCCGCTCCATTTTTTAAATTTATATGCCGCTGTTTCATTGTAGTATGTACTACTTATAAATTTAAGTTCATATTATATAATAAATTATGATTTGTTCTCATATTCAAAAAAACCTTTTCCACTACCCCACATTTATATAATATTTCTTTGAAGGAGTTACAAATTTATAATATGTGATTATTCTAAATATTGCTAATTTATTTATGAGGAGATCAAACACAAAATGTATTATGCTTTAGGGTAGAACATGCAAGCGCATGATTTATTATCGAACATTCTTATATGAAAGTATAATTTTTATTTAACTAATGTTAAATACATAAATACGTCTTGTAGAGCAAAACCAAGAAGCCTATAAAAAAAAAACAGCGCATTATATTAACATTCCATTTTAAGGAATTTCTGCAGTTTTGTGTTTTGATTTTATTTGTCATAGTAAATGAAATTAAATGGGTATACAAAAGTAAAATATATGATAGATAAATGGGTTTTTGTATAATTTCCACAACATAAAAGTGAAGGCTTCGAGTGCGCAATATAATTTATTTATCAACCCTGTATAAGAATGTTTGGTGTTATACATATTATGTATATATAATATTAAATACGAATATTGCTTTCTAAGAGAAATTCAGTTGTGTTTTCGCAGGCATCTAAATTCTTCGACATTTCGATAAACTCATAGTGTATAATAATTTTAATTAATTCTAGTTAATTAATTATATGTAAATTTCCAATTTTCGAAATACCGTTGATTTTGGTTTCTTTACATTTATTTTTATTTCGTTTGTAAATACACTTAAACTTTATGATTTTTCGTGTGCAGCTTTATTTTAAAGATTTTTTGTTTATCGGTGCAGAAAACTCTAGTTTCTATTATGCTTCATCAACTCGTGTATGTATGTATGTATGTATGATTTTTTGTTTGCCACAAAAATGCGATGAGTTTGTTTAAAATGTAACAGTAAACTACATACATTCGATTTGAATTCTCCAATAATTTAATGTGCTCATATCTCGATTTCCACCTAAATTTCTAAAACTAGTGCATGTCTATTTATGTATGTATGTACGTAATGTAGAATATTCGTGTTAAATTATGCCTTGGAAAATTGTATAGGATTTATATCGTTAAATTGATTACTTAAAAGCAAAGATAAACATAAATAAATTACAGCTTAACTCCAAATTAAATAATAAATTATCACAAATAAAATCGTAATCGCTCATACTTAATTAAAGGAAATACATTCTTGACTAATTATCGATTCAAACTTTACTAATTATGCCTGCCACTACAGTTATGTTAACTGTATACATGCACCCTTAACGTATAAAATGTTTTAACATCGCAGTCAGCAATTTACATTTGGCTTTCCTTGCGCCACTGAAATGTGCCCGATTTCACTCCGATGCTTGAAGATCCCTGATTGCTGTTTGAGGAGAGCATATTGTTGGTTCGCCGTATTAGTTGGGCGGCAGAATCGAAGCGGCTCCGTATTAGACGCATTGCTGGATTTGTAGTGATTCCGCTGCGTTTGCTTTTGCTGCAAAGGAGAATACATCAATAAAGCACACGAAAATATATATACTCGTACAAATGTTTATAAATCTAATTAATATGTTTAAATGATGCCCTCCAAGTTGAAAATAAACTGTTAAGAAATAAATCGCCATTATTTTCACCGAGCTAGGTGCAGGGGCAAAACTGCATTAAACTGTGTGAGGATTCAGTCAATCATATAAAATGTATAATAATCTTTTAAACTGAACTAGCGCTGGCAAGTGCAAGTAAAATATACATAAATAAATACATTTTTATCAATACAGTTATCGCTGCTCTTACCTAGATGAGCTCGGCTGGGTTTCCTTTAAATTTCCCAAAATTATACGCATATGCGTATCTCGGGCGAAGTGATTATCTGGTAGTGCTGATTTCCCACCAGAACTACTGCTATTGCCGTGATTTCCCAGAGAACTGCCCGACGCGGCGGTGATTTCATCGAATGCATTCAGCGAGGGTAGCTGACCGGGTGAACTCAGTTCACTGCTGGGCGAGTGCGGTGGTGTGGCATATAGTGGTGACATGCATTCCATATCATATAGATCAGCCTCATTGGCACCGATACCAGAAACTGAAAGCAGCAATATATAAACAAAACAAAAAATTTATGAGAAGAATAAACTCGTATGCGTCGTTGTATAATGCAATGCGATCGTACCAAATTGATGTTCGTTGAGATCGGGCAGCAACTGCGAATGCCTATGTGAGTGATGCGCTTTCGATTGCTGTTGCATTGCGCCTGTTGTGTTGGAAGATGTTGAGGCGGCGCCATGCTTTGAGTTGATGATGGGCGCATTTTGCACGAAAGGATTGTTACGCGAGTTGAGTTTGGTTTGACGCTGTAGTTGTTGTGTAAACGTGAGCGGCGCCTGCTAAAGGTAAAGGTGTATTGTATTTGAAATGAATTATTAAGTAGGTTTTTAGTTACTATTTTATATCACTTACATCATTGCTGCTACCTGTCGATTGACTAGAGATAACGCTTTTTCGCTTGTGTAAGCTGCTCGTATCCGACAGCATTGTGTTCTGATAGAAATTATTGGAGCTATGCGTTGACGTCGATGCATTCAGTATGTTTGATGGCACTTGCATGTTGTTATTGTTGTTTATACTGTTATTTACTGTGGCCGTGGTCGCCGCCGAGCAGACTGAGGGAGCGGAGGCGTGCGGCGGATACGATGGAGCACCCAGCCCTATGCTTTGATGAGCAGGTAACGCTGGTGGTTGATCGGGTGAGCGCAGCATGCTAGGGTGGAATTTCGCAGGCTCGACTAGATTGTTGGAATCACCTGAAGGAAACGTAAGTAAAAATGTAGAAATAATTATAAATTGAAACAATTACGAATTGAGTGTTTGTTTACTTTTTGTGAAGTTTTCGAAAATCTTTAGTATGTTTGTGCGATTTGATTTGGCTGCCAATTTAATTGGTGTACGTCCGCAGTGGTCTGACTTGTACGGATTTGCACCGTACTTAAGTAAAGCAATCACACATTTTTCGTGGCCTTCCTGTGCAGAAATGCCCAAAGCCGTTGCTCCTTGTTTGCATGCGTGGTCCGCTATTGCGCCAAAGTATAGCAGTATACTCATGACATCATGATTGCCTTGCCAGGCGCACGAATGCAATGGTGTGCGAGCTTCCAGGTCCATTGCGTTGACATCAGCGTTACCTTAAAAGTTTGTAGACAATCATATGATATTTTTTTTGAATGCTTCGTTAGAATTTCTCACCCATTGTTATAAGCATCTTAACCATTTCGGCGTGCCCTTGCCACGCAGCTACATGCAACGCTGTGCGTCCCTCGCTATCCGGTATATTCACATCTACATTGGTCACTTCCAGCAGGTACTTAACTATATCCAGTTTATTTTCTAATGCAAGTATGTAAAGTGTGGTGCGTGAGTCTGCGTCCTTGGCGTTCACATCGCAGCAGAATTTTAACAGATACTGTAATGTTTCAAGGTGGCCCTCCAAGCAAGCGAGCCGGAATGCTGTTTTGCCATCGTGTGCCTTTTGGTCTACGAATGTCGAATGTATTTCGAGTAAAATTTGTACGCACTTAGTACGACCTTCTTGTGCGGCGAGGTGCAGCGCAGTCTTTCCTTCATTGTCGCACTCGTCTATCTTGGCGCCCGACTCTAGCAGCTGCAGACATACCTCATGGAAACCCTCGAATGCAGCATAGTGTAGCGGGGTCCAGCCGGCATTGTCGCGATGTGTTTCGTCTAGCCCACGGTCTAGTAGTTGCCTTACAGTCTCGACATTGCCCTGTGCTGAGGCAATACTAAGTACGGTTCGTCCCTCTGAGTCCATGCAGTCAATGCCACAGCCCCAAAAGAGTAGTAATTTTACAACGTTTGCATGTCCGGCAGTGCAGGCGGCCCAAAGTGGTGTACGACCCATGAAATCAGCTAGATCTGGATCCGCGCCATTTTCGAGCAATAGCTCGCACACCTCGGCGTTGCCTTCGAAAGAGCTTACAAGAAGTGGCGACATGCCGTCATTGTCCAGCTGGTCAGTGTTGGCACCGTGCTCCAATAAGGTCGATATAACCTTGCTATAGCCTGATGAACCACACAACGCGGCTACACAAAGTGCGCTACGTCCATCCAAGTCCAGGTGATTTACATTAGCACCATTTTCCAGCAGGATTTCAACAATATCATAATGCCCCATGTAAGACGCGGCGATCAAGGAGGTGCGACCCTGTCTATCGACAGAATTCACATCTGCACCAGATTCGATAAGTATTTTTAAAATGTCTTCGTGTCCGCTCCAAGCAGCTGCTCGTAGTGCAGTACGTCCCTCCTTATCGGCTAGATCAATTTTACACGCGGGATGTGAGATCAGGAGCTTTACAACCTCTGTATGGCCACCCCACGAGGCAGAACGTAATGGTGTCCATCCATCCCTATCAGCGTGATTGACATCCACGCGCTTCATTCGGCCAGTGCCGTCGTTGCAGGGTTGAGAGAAGCTAAGTAACAATTTAACAACCTCTAAATGTCCATTGCGCGCGGCAATATTCAAGGCTGTCTGTCCGTTGTAGTCTTCAATTTCGAGATCGATGGGTCCTTTACATGCGTTCAATGCACGCTCGAGAAGCTGGTGATTGCCATCGTTAGCCAAGATGTGTATGAGTGCTTTACCTTTGTGTAATTCAATTCGATTAGAGTCGGAGAGTTGGTGCAGCGTGCTAGAAGCATTTTCATCCTGACTCTCGTGGTGTGGCTCACTCTTCTCCGATGGGCTGGTTGGGCGTTGGGTTTCCAATATGCATGACTTCTCGCTTGATATCAAAAGGTCAGCCAGTTCAAAGTCTATATTTTGTGATTTCTCCGACAGCTCGGGAGACATAAGCGATGATTCGCACGAGTTCTGAAGAGAGAAAAGAAGAGAATACACAGGAAAAAATCAGAAGCACATTGAAATTGTTCAATTCAGTAACGAAAGGTTGATAGAAATATCCCCAAAAACAAGTGAGATTTCGGCCGAATTGAATGATTTTTTTATAGGATAATATTTAAGATTGGATTTGTGTTTAAATTATTTATTGTCTTGGAAATCGAAGTTTTAAATGAATTGGAAGAAATGTGATGCGAGAAAATAACGTGATTATTGCATTGACATACCTGTGCTTCAGCATTATTAATTCCTGTTTCAATTAACAGCTTTAGAATCTTCGCATCTGTAGGTAAGCTCGGCTTGAAGAAATCACACAAAAATTGCGAAAACTCATCAGTTAATTCGCTACTAAGGAATTTTTCAATCATGTTGCGTGTCTTAGGTAGAAAGTTTGGATCGTGCTTGAAATCGTTTTCGCATTGAGAACAGCAATTTAAGTGATTCGTGTAGAATGCGTCATTCAAATTCAGTCGCGATTCGAGTAACATAAGTATTATGTCTAAATTAACATTGCGACTGGTAAGATATTCGCCCGACTTGATGAGATGATATACAAATTTCCGAACATTATTTGCGCACAGTGTGTCGGCGACCAACAAATAGTACATTGAGACCATAACGTGACCTTCGTTAACGTCACAAATGAACTTTTTCGTTGCGAACTTAACGTCGACCAACCAGTCGGAGAAGGAATTGTGAAATATCCTCAGTCGTTGCTGATCCGCATCGTAAGCAACTATGTTCTTCATGAGATGTAAACGCTTTTCGAATTCTTCCGTATCGATGGCGTAATTGTGCGTACGTAGACAATTAAAGAGGAAAAGTTTATCGACGTAACCAGATGAAGCGAGCAGCACATTTAGAAGTGGGCGTATTTTCATATATTGCTTTTTGTTGAACGACTTCTGACAAATGTACAAATACAAGCCGTTCAGTGTGCATGGTATCAATTTGATCTCACGAAAACTGAAGAAATTCTCTTTTATGCCGTTCAATACTTTCTCCAAATACAATATACAACCATTCGATTTGATATATAATTGATGAAGTGATTCTATTATCTCCTTTGTAAGCATAATACTGTCTTTAAAGTCCGAATTTAGCCTATTAATTATGTACTCCTGAACATCTTTCACCACGTGCGATTTGCGTAAGTCATCCAAAGTGATCTTCTTAAAACCTGTAAACATCCGTGTGATCTGTTTAGTTTGCTTTTTGGTGGTACACACCAGAAAGAGCCACTTAGGGAAGAGATGTATGTGATTGGATAATAATTCCGCAACGTTGCGACTCTTGTGACTAGTCGACATGCCTCTTCCACCCTTCAAAGTGGTGATCAAATTTCCTTCATTTATGTAATTTTCATCGATGGAATCGATCAGCAGCAAAAGTGCTGTTTTGGGCGGGGTAAGCTCGAGCAGTGGGAATAGCAGTGCCTTTTTAAAGCATTCATCCGGATTTTTTTCAATGCTATCGACATTCAAACACTCCAATATTTCTGGATTTGAGAGCAGCATTTCATAGTAACCATCTGCGATTACTGTTCGACAACTTTTCGGCTTGGGTAGTGGCGGTGGTAGCGTGTTCATATTATCGTTTGCGCCGCTAGGATGTATATAGTTGTCCGTTACCTCGCGATCATTGTTCTTTTCGAATTCAATCAGATTTTCGCAATTTTCTTTATCTTCTTCATCGATGTTTTCTTTTTCAAATACGTTCTTACATTCCTTCAGATCTTCTTCAAGATTTTTATCTGCCTCTGGCTTGTCTTCATCGTCTTCATCCCTGTCGGATTTCGGATTCTCTTCGATGGTTTTGTTGCCATTGTCCTCATTAATAGCAGCTTCTATCTCGTTTTTCAGATCTTCGCTTATCATATCAGCAATATCCTCACCACCCCCATGTTGAATAGCTGTACCACCAGTACTTGGTGTTAAAACAGCTGTTACTTTAACTGGTGAGGCAACAGCACTTGAACGGCCGAGTTTCACGGGTATCTTTGATTTCTTGCCGGGGCTACACTTGGACGATGTTGAAGGCGAGCTTTTCTCCTTTTCTGAATCGGTGTGTTTCCCTTTTTCGGTATCGTTGTCTTTATCTTCGTTGCGATCTTTAGTATTACTTTTGTTACCCGTTGAAGGAGGATGCGTGCCATAATTGTTGTATTTATTATTGTCATCGATGGCGGAATGTCCTTTGGCTGCAGCAGGTTCTGATTTTTGCCGCATAATACAAGCATTGCCAGTTTTTTTGTTGTTAGTCGAAGTACGTCTTTGTTGAAAATGTTCAGGTTTGTCGCTGTCAAAACTATTGGCGCCACGTCGTAGTTCAGCAATTAAAATATCTTCAACATTTTCATCCAATGTAATATTGTTCATAGCCTCATCCAGTTTTGACTCTTGCTGTTGGGCCTCTTCTTGCAGAAAGGAGAAGCCTTCATCAATCACGCGCTGACATTCATCCTTTGCGATTAATGAAGAATGACTTAATACTTGCATTACGATTTTACGCATAAATAGCGAAAGGCTGTGACATTCCGGGTTCTGCGATTCGATCAGATAGCAACCGAGTAATTTGCGGTTCAGGATGCCTTTTGTGCCAGAGTTGCCATTCATAATAGCTTGACAGATTGAAGTTTTACCTGAACCGTTCGAGCCCAGTACGAGGCAACCGTTATACGTAGAGCTGGATATTGCGGCTGCTTTAGCACGAGCCGCCATAAAACTACCAGCAACTTCGGCTTTGCCTACCGCCCCAGTACTGAGCAAGCCAGGCATATTCTTCTTGCCTGCGGTGCGCTGTTCCAAGCATAGCGCTATCTTTTTCAGCACCCATTCGCGGTGTATGTACACTGGTTGTACGCCTCGCGCAGTAAGAGTCTGACTTTGAGTACCACACGACGCTGCAATGCCGCTAACTTCCTTATCGGGCGAAAGCTTTTTTTGCATTAAAACCTCTAAATTATCAGCAGTTTCTGTTAACACCGATTCACTAGTATCTGCTGTGACACTCATACTGTGATCGTCATTCCCATCGCCATTGGAGTCTCCTTTGTTACGCGTTGCTTCAATGGTGAAGTTCTGTTGCACTAAATTGGCAAAGTGTTCCTCTCGAGCCAAATTCGAAAAGCTGGCGTTGGGACAGTCCCTGCTCGATATCTCTAGCTTTTTCTGCAACTGTGTAGTGTCCTTGAGAAAATTAAGTATACGCCGATCCTCCAGTTGATGACTGGGAGTGTTTGAGTTGGGAAGCGACGGCAATGAGGCAGGTTGATTCGTATAATGCGAACCACCAACTAATGCGCTGGACGAGCAACCATCCACGGCCACGTCATCGTCGAGATCGGTTACTGGAATGGCATTGCCATTTCTGCTGCATAGCCGAGTTAGGTCTTTTGAGTTTAGTTTCTTGTATTCCATAACATTGGACAATTTGGCATCGTGTGTATCATGGGTATCGTGATTGCTGCCACTTGCATGTAAACGTGCACCCGAACTGTTGAAGCGCAAGCGTTCGCCGCTTTTGTAACGGTCCGATTTGCGCAACGGTGTGGCGTAGAGCATCTCTTTGGACATATTAGTCGCGGCATAATGCCGATTGTTCGACTGCTGTTGTAGCGTTAGCGGCGAAGGCTGTTGTTTGTTGTTGGTCAAGCCGGTAGAGTTAGTGTGAGGATTGGAGTTAGCTGCATTCTGATTGCTTATATTATTCAATAGTAGCTGCTGAGAGAGCGGGTTATTGGCCACTGCTGCAGCCACGGCGTTATTTGTGTTCGATTGGGCAGATTTTTGTTGTTGGATTTTGCGAACAGCATCATTGTACATAGCCTGACAGGGTAAATTTTCGTAGATGTCGTTGCGTAGATTATCATTATCTGAATGCTTCGACATTTTCGTGATAACGGGTTTGTGGAGGTTCGGGAGCGTCTTTGTTTCACTTTCATACACTCAACTTAATGAGACAATTTCCGTTGGGCGAAGAAATTCATTTCAACAACTCGTTCAACCTTGCGTTTCGCCGCTCGTTTTTGGAACTCTGAAATGAATAAAAAGGATTCTACAAAGTTTTATTTGCAATTTATAATATATATTTTAAATTTATTTATTTTTGTTTTTATCTTTGTTAATTTTTAAACTCTTTTAAAGTATGTATAGACTAATCTACATTTAAATGCATTAAAGAATGCATTGTTTTTTTAATGTATATATAATATATAATATTTTAATATGATTATTAGTATTTAGAATGTTTATAGAGTAAACAAGAAAAGCAGAGCTAAGAACGGGTGTTTTCTGCTCTCGCAATTTGAAAAGATCAAAGCCCGACAAAATCCTTCAGATGTTGGCAAACCTTTATTTTAAAAAAATGTTGTGAGAGAATTCAACATGCGCTATTCGAGGATACCGAATGTACATGTGTTCAATGACTCACTTATTTTAAACGATACTTGTTTGAGATTTCTTTATATATTTAGCTTGATTTGCATAGTGGAAAGTGAGAGAATCAGATGGAATTTAAAATGGTCAGTCATCTGGCAGTACATTTTCGTAGGTGCCGAATCAGACTTTTAGATTTTCTATGGCAGCGAAACAAATTCTGCAGAGAAATCAAATGGCAACCGTTAAAACAGTCGGTTTTTGAAGAGCCATAACCAGGTGCCCCGAAAAGGACAAACATGTAAAATAGCGAGACAAAACCAGACCATGAACTCATATTGTCAGACTGTGGTTTAAATATGCGAGAGATAGCTGAGGCAGTAGGCATAAGAAAAGATCGCATATGGGCATAAAAAGCTGTCCGTTTGTTGGAATACTCATACCATCATTATTTGCAGATCTCCACGTACTTTTTAGACTAACTGAAGAAGTTCAAGCCTCGATCGAGCTTAAAAGGAAATAAATTGCCTTGAATCTCAATTAAATGCCGCTAAATGGCATATAACCTTCATGAATTTGCGTCTAGTTATAAGTGTGTACCAACAGAGTTGCTAAATTTTCCTCTTTATGCTATTTTATCAATTCCTATAAGGACGGACTATTCTCAGTTAATTTTGTCACTCTTCAATGTTCAACGCCGTAAAGCTGACACTGAAGAAAATTAACGAAAATTGTGTCAGCCATGATTGGGTGGTGCTTTGGCCATATTTCATGGACATATATTTGTATGTATGTATGGTCTGTGTGCTACTTACATTGAACACTGCCAGTACATGGAGGACAACCGCTGATTCGCTCACATAAACTTGCAAAATAAAATATATATAATAAATTAGGGACATTAGCGTGAAAAGCACTTAAGATGGGCCTTGTTAATGACAGAGAAGGTGTTAAGTGATAATGACGATAACACTAATAATGAGTTACGTAATGAGTGCACTTTTCCGTGATGAGCTAATAATAATGACTTCAGTTGGGTATGGAAGGTGGCTGTAAGGTAAGGGGAAACGGGAAAGCCAAGTTGGGTTAATTAGCAGAATATGGATTAAGATAATTTTAATGAGAAAACACATACCGACAAAGATCGCAGTACATATATAAATATATATGGTATGTATAAATGGAGAAATAAACGATGAACGATTTAGCCGAAGAGGATACACTTGAATGAAACTCGGATAGAATGATTTTTCTGGCACACAAGGTTCTGAAATTATTTTTTTTTACACTTCTTAGAAGACTTGACCTTCTACGAACAAGTGACTTTAAAGTTGCTATAAGTGGTGGGTTCAAATGATTATGTTAGTTCTCATTTTTAGCAAAAATTTGCTGTTTTTTAAATTCTCCTTTTTATTATTAGACTAAGCTAGGTAATTTCTGAAAGCAAAAATAAAAAAGCATAGTCAGTTGTAACCCCTGAGTAAATCGCCACCATTTTTTTGATTCTTTTCGGGTTTGAAATTATGAAAAGTGCCGAGCCCAGCGAATATGTTGGCTGATTTTGTTATATGACTATGTACGATTAATATCAGGAATGTTCTAAAAAAAATGGCAGGACGACACAAAGCTTTCAAAATGTTACAGAAATGTTGACTTTGAGACTCTAACATGAATAAGTTTGGCATAACTTTAACACTGACATGCATAATTCTGCCATTGACAACATTACAATGAGTACAAATATTTTCGGTTCTTATTTACGTAGTTTTCGTAAATAATGTAAATGACTTAATACTTGGCACATAAACACACACGCATATGTACATACATACGTGTGCGTACTTATGCTATCCTGTAAGTCAGTTTGTATATTTGACGATTTTTATATCCTCATCAATTTTATAAGCATTGTCAATATCCTCATCAATCATTCAATTCATTACGCACACTTGCAACTTGGCAAATGGGGTACACACATCCGACATCCGACAACAATAGTTGTAAATATGGCACATATGAATACACTAACATGAAAGGATAAAGTGAAATAAAAACCATAATCCTCAGGCAATCGACAATGACGAGACGATGTAAAACATTTGGATCCAGATTAAGCAAAAATGAATTTAGCAAATAAAGCGAAATGCGACAGCAGGACAGTGAGCGCAGGATATTATGCACATATGTACATTCATGTATATAGGTTCTATGTAAATACAAATATAACCCATATTTTCGCATTTTATTACCAAATACACAAATAACAACAAACGCTTGCCTGCCAGCGCTGACATATCGGAAAAGTAACAAAATGCGCTGACAACGCTTTGCAATGGAAGCTTAAGCAAAGAGTAGTGCGAGGTGCGGATGCCTATGTGCATACATACACCATACATATATATGTATGTGTACTATATGTGGCTGCGCATGTGCATGTGGCGAGCATTTTTTGTTGTATGAACGCGTCATGCAGGCGTTCCACTGAGGCATGGAGCAGAGACGTCAAGTGTATGGGTGTGGCCGCACAAGCGAGCATAATTTGCGTAGGTTAGCTGGCGCGGGTGCGGAAATCGGTGAGGGTGTGTGTGCATACGGCTGTTTATGTCACAGGATGTTGCAGTGAAGCGTCAAATAATCGCACATGACTTCAGAGAAGCGTTGTCGCCCCGTCCTGGAGCTGTTGTTTGTCAAAGAATGTCAATATGTTTGTCGCATAAAAGGCAACTACAAAAAAATGCCAGAAAATAGAATGAAAAGGAAAGCAAAAGCTAAAGCACGCAGGCACAACTACCAACTATAATGGCGTAGGATAGGCGTACAGACAATAGTGGCAAAATAAAGGGTGCACAAGGAGTTTGACGCGTCACTTAAAACGGTTGATGCTTGCTTATACGTAACACGGTGTATTAGTAGTGTAAATGTATGTGTGGATTTGTAAATAAGCGAATGAATGGATGAATGAATGAAATGTAGGGTAACAACTTGACATGTGAAAACCCCATAAAAAGACACGACAGACAACAACTGGCGGGAGTAAGCGGCAAATGTAAACACAAGCAGCACAACATGCGCTCATTCGCTCATTCGCATACAACGGCACGCACATTCGACAGGCGTGCTGCGCCTCGAGTTTGTGTAAGCCACTGCAGTTGTTTGTCTACATTAGGTGCATTTACTTTGCTTCCATTGCGAAATTTACGAACCATATCCACTCCTACCACATTCACATATGTGTGTGTGTGTGTGCATCAGCTCTGAGCATAACTGGCATGAAATTGCAGAATGAATGGGTGGATACCAGGAGTAGGCGGCGAGCGCGGGTACGGCGGGGTGTATGCGAACTAAAATGCAAATATTCTCGGAAATGCAAATAGTAATGCGCATATTAAAATGCCAACGCGTGCAATAAAAATACAAATTCCTCGCATCCACATGCGCGTAAATGCATACAAGTGAAATATGTGGCCGCAAACCCGCACATGTGAGTGTCAAACGCATTTCAGTTGACATCGGACGCATTTCATTGCGCTCATTATGAGACTATTATTTGCTTGATTTCTCTTGAGATTGCATTTGAGTTTGTGCAGCGCCACATACATACATACTCCATAAACAAACGCATGGCACATAAATGAGCTAATAAAATGTTTTCTGGGTTAAATATTGCAAGCACCGAGAAGAATTAAAAAACGCGTCTAAACTCGTTAAATTGGGTAATAATCAGCGGAATAGAGAAGTACATAATAATTGTGAATATTTCGACAGCTCTTCTAACCATGGGTACATTGCGTATACGTAACGTCACATGCTGGAAATCTACTAACGGTGATTGATTGTTGAGATCAACGAAAGTATGAATTCACTGTTAGAAGTCTAACCTTAAAACAAAGCATCGTCCGTGTTGTGTTGGACAAATAGAAGGTTGGACAAATGCTGATCGCTTTTTGAGCAGCTGTTACAATGTACCATGTATGTTGTTCTTGTTAAAAAAATGTGATGGGATTGCTTGCCAATTGCTATTAAAGGACGCATTTTCAATAATTTCGGAATTTGTTGGGCCCAAGATTTAAATCATAGAAACGCTTTCAAATATTTATATTCTGGTAGCGCTACTTCTACTCTGTGGATTAGTCTTGTGTATACAACTACTTATATTTTTCGCACCTAAAATATATACATATTTACACACTTTTATATAGGGTGTTTTATAAGAGTTCTAAAATTCCCAAAGCAGTAACTGTCAAGCCGGATTTCAGGTAAACATATCTGTTTGAACGTACTAGGAATACCTAGTATGAAATAAAAAAAATTCAAGTGTTTCCACATTTCGATAGTTTATAGTATACCTTTAAAAATAACATATTAAAATTTTAAATCGCTATCTCAAATAGGATTTGAGTTACAGCCAGCTAAAGTGTAGCTGCTCAGTTCAATTTTCTCAAAACTACATTTTCACATTTTCTTGAGTGCTTGCGCAGATTCGATCAATATCAATTTTTTATCTTCTCCATACAATGTTCTAACACTTATTCGATCTGATGAAAAATCGAATTTTGGCAAGACAAATATTTTTTGTAAAATTTCTTAAATAAAAACTGGCATTTTTTAAATTTTTTAAATTTTTTTAGGCTGTCACACTCGCTGTGCATCTTAATTCAAAATAAAAGTTCTTTATCTCCAAAAACACCCGTTATCATATAAGACAAACAATGTGTATTATCTTTTCATGTGCAAAACAAATGCATAAAACAAGGATATGTCAGCTGCCAGCAGCCTGAAGCTATCGTACGGCTTAACACATACACACTTCATATGGTGACATGTGCTGTTTGTGAGCATATCCTCACTTCTGCTTGTTTGTGTTGCATAAAAAATCTCCTATTGGTGAGTACCATGTGACTGGCCGCTTGTATCTTTCCGCCATCACCAACACGATAGCGTTTATTGCTATCCTTGGAAACTTCTTTATGAACATGGTTATCGTCACACTCATTATCAGCGAAAGGATAACTGTTTACAGGTAAGCTTTTGTGTAGTTGTTTTCCTGGAGATGGTGGTGATGGTGCACTCGTTATTTTTTAAGTCATCAGTAGCATCGTCAAAAAAGGAAAAAAAATCAAAATCATCTACGAATATGCCGTGACAATGCATACGTAAACATTAAAGGCTTAAGGTGCATTTTTTTTTGTAACTAGTGCTGCAGTATGCCAGGGAAATCGCGTCGGAAGCAGTGACACAAATGGCGGGCGAACATTAAATGGGCGTTAGGGAGGAGTATGCTCTCTTTGTATTTGTGTGAGAATTACTGGATAATGTTAAAATCGTGAAACACGGCAACACCGCTGCGCTACAATTGCTAAACTATGTGGTGTATTCACTGAAATTTGGCCTCTATACTTCTGTAGGCGGGTTTGGTAAAAAATGTGACTTTTATTGTTTTCGAATATATAATATTATCTCTCCCTTTAGTTTCATGAATATTCAAATATTATAGGAGTAAAATCGATTCGGAACCTAGACTATGAGCTGGAAAATATTTTTAATTTGAGTATTTTTTGGCATTTTCATTTTCAGTTGCACCAATGCTCGATTACAAAGCAAACTGTTTAAGATATCAATGAATAAAAAGCTGCAGTGAATTTTCTATTCATTTAGCCAATTTAACCACCGTAAAAGCGGGTTTAATGAAGCTTTATTAACTTAAACATGTTGATTTGAACGTTTTTACCATATACACTCAAAGCAACATCACGACAGTGACATGGATAGGAGGAGAAAATTACGGTAGTTACCAGTCTTCTATTACAATTTTCGCGAGCGCAACGCGAAATGAATGCGTGGAGAGAAAAGCTCAAAAAACAAATATATATTTAAATAAACATTAATTTTAAAGTCTGTAAATCTGACTGCGATGATGATAGCCGTAAACCCAGCTGCACTTTACTAGAGAAATAAAGGAAGCGGAGGCTTTCATGATAAGTTTACTCGCATTCGCATTGTCGATTATTGTAGTGATTCTATTTTATTAGCAGCAATATCTCTTTATTTAATACTCGACTTTTTACTTCAAATCTTCCGCTTTTCTCAGTTACACAAATATGCTGCACTGCCTACATAGCCAACAGCATCAACCGATAATGTTAGCCAATCTCAACTCAATTCAAGCGCACTTGGATACTATTGGCACTAGTGTTGTTGTTGTGGTAGCCGATGTTGTTATTTTTCTCATTGTTGGGGATCATCGTCAGCCAACTGCTGGTTGAAGTGGTGCGTGCGGAGGTGTTGTACTTTGCCTTGAACTTACTTGTAATAGTAAAAAAACTGTGCAGTGATTTGATATATTTTTGTTGTTATTGCATTTGTGCTCTCTTTGGTTGCTGTCGGTGTTATTGACACTGATTGGATTAGGTTTGTTGAGTTTGAAGTGCGCTCAATTCAAATTGCACACAAATTGTGTATTGACGTTAGAAACTTCCCTTTAATTATATTTAGTCCGTATTTATTTTGCTCTGCGCTTGCTGTAAGCAAAAGTAATTTATATATATTCGCATATACACATATATAGACTGAAAAATTAAACAGCTCTCGAGTGCACTTTCGAATGACGAGGCTCTTGTAGTTGTCGAGTGTTATTTAAACTTAAGAGTTGCAATAGTTTAATTGAGTGCTCAATAGCACTTAAATATACATATACAAATATATGTATGTATATATACGAGCAAATCATATAAAATAAATCAAATGCATATGTGATTATTTACATGTTTACCAAGAAGTGCAGCAATTATGTTGTTGGTAAGCTCTAAGCACAAATTATCGCATAGTTTATACCTTTCAACGAAAAATATACAGCCTTGGCCAAAAGTATGGGACACTCTATAACGATAAGGGTTATTTGAAATAGTGAAGGCAAAGTAAAATTTCTCTTTACTAATATCTTGCTCAAGTAGTTAATATTATATATTATATAACACAACAATAACAAACGTTGATGCTTGCCATGGATAAAAAAAAAAGTTAATTGCTCACTCAGAGTCAAGTTTTTTATTTAAATACCCATAAATGACGACTTTTGTGACAGGTGAAGGGTAAAAATCCCGATTCGAGGGGGGACGGAAAGCCGCTGGTTTAAATTGAAAAGAAAGTGGCATGAGATATTCACGGAGAGTGGTGCAATAAATACTTAAATAAATACAAGCTCAAACAGCTCGGTGGAGACTATAGAAAACTGATTAAAAAGGTTGCAAAAGTTTTGAAATGACCTGGAAAATTTTTGAATTCGGAGAATCGTAGAGATATTTTTAAAGAGTAATAATGATTGAATTTAAAGTTGCGCATCGTTGTTACTTTTGCGAGAAAAACATTTAAGTTTTTGAAATATGCTTTTAGTTAAGATTCACCAAAACAAATTTATTATTACAATATTTTCGGTTTTACCTCGGTTAGGAGTTGACCTTCGACTAATTGCGAAGGGTAGTCGTACATTCCAAGCGGCTTATTACATAATATATTTGAGACATCCTTTGAATTGTTCTTAAAATGTTGAAGCCAAAAACATAATTTCATTTCCGCATACCGTTTACGAATGTTAGAATGTGCACTTCAGCTGATCTCCGTAACGAATGCCCAGTTGAAGAAACGAAGGCACCACTACACAATATAAATATATAACATCATTGACAGATCGTTAATCAAAAGTGTTTATACATTTCGGGGTTACACAGATTTGCGATGGAATTATGAAGAGTGATTCACGCAGCGCCGAATTAACAACTGATATGCACAAAGACGTCTTGAAAGATTGGCATTTATAAACCAAAGACGGAGAAGGCAAGAGGCGGCATTAAAGCGAATATAAAAAAGCTGTAAACATTTTTGTGTGGCTGCAGGCAAACAGAAACTACAGATATCACATAATCAGATCAACGTGAAATGCCAACGACGCGCGAAGAGTTGTGGAAATGACGTTATGGAAGCTTGACGCGCCGACAATGTAAGGAAAGATGTGCGCTCTTTGAACACACGCAAATATATGTGCACAGCTAGCGCTTTCACAATACCATAGATGCAAGAACAAAAAAGAAAATATGTATTTTTGCATGTATGCCAGCGACTCGGACGATTGCTCGTAAGCCTGATAAATCCATACGAGGAAGAGTCAGAAAGATTTGGTATGAGAGAAATGCCACTGACGACACCGATGCTACTGGAACGCCACCAGAAAAAGCCGCTAAAACCGTGCATCGGCGAGATCATTCAGTTCAGTTGAGAACAAAGAGTGGCATTGAAACGAAGTGTTGCTGTGCGTTCCCTTTAAAAGCAGGGGAGAATTTAATTTGTGCATTGCTACTTAAGACCCGTTTAGCTAAACGCCGCGCTGCAGTGCAAATACGCAAAAGCCACAAAATGCTGCGCGCGCAAGTTTCGGTTCTTGTTTACGGAATTTTTATTATAATGTATATATTTGCCGCATCTGCTACGAGTGCTAGCGTAGAAGATATAGACGAGAATTACATGAAACAGCTGTTGGGCAATTTGAATATGAGCGTCGATCCGTGTGAAGATTTTTATGCGTTCGCATGTGGCAATTGGGCGCAACACTACGATGATGATGCCTATGTGGATGTGCCCGGTTATATGGACTATGAAGTGAATAAGCAATTGCTTAGCGCGCTGCTTGCCGACAGAGCAACAAATATAAGCGGTATAGCGCAGCAGGCCTGGCATTACTATGGGTCGTGTGTGAATCTAAATGCGCCCGTATTGAATAGCTTTCTGCGCTACGTGCAACAGGCTTTACACTTTGAATGGCCCATATTGCGTGCTGATTGGCAGCGACCTTGGCAGAATGTCACACACTTCGATTGGCTGCGCATTGTAGGTGGCTTGCGCGCTTATGGACTGAACGGCATTTTCATAACGCAGGAAGTCAATGTGCGCCTCGTCAATGCAACGCATTACCTTTTAGTGTTGCACGCTCAACAGTTGCCGACTGTGGCGCCACCCTCACTGGTTCTGCGGCAGAAGGCTGTTGAAGACATATTTATTAATTTCGGTTTGACAGCGTTGGCGGCTCGAAATGTCAGTGCGCGTGTCATTGCGTTAGATAAGTCGTTAAATGACGCCTTAAGCACTCTCACATTGCTGCCTTCAGGGACTTCAAATGTCAGCGAAGCAAATGTAACGCGCGCCAACTTCACGAGCTTGGAAATGAATGTAAACGATTTGGTGCAGTTGGTGCCGGAAATCGATTGGCGCAGGTATCTGCAACATACGCTTGGGCGCGAAGTGGACTTAGAACAACAGCTGCTGCAAACCTTCTCCTACGATTTGCCCTACTTTCGCAAATTGCCAGCGCTACTTGCTGCACACTCAAACGAGACGATCGCTTACTATATAATGCTGAAGTTTATGTATCAATTGAGTGGCGATTTGCCAACGGGAATGTCTGATGTGCAGAAGTCCACGCATTGCATGCGCCTGCTGCGTGGTTATATGCCACTGGCGGCCAATTACCTATACGAGCAACATTATTACAAGCATAGACGCGTGGCGAGTGACGCCGCGCTGCATCGTATTTTCAACAAGTTGCGCGGCAACTTCGCACTGCTGGTCGATGCTAATGCTTTACAGCTGAACGCCACTGAGCGTGCCTACATACTCGCCGAACTGGACGGAATGCAACTACGCATAGGGAATGTGCCACATGGGGCGGCGAACTTGACTACTCAAGTCGAGGAATACTATGCGGGTATAGACATGAACCCTAGCGACTTTTACGGCAATCATTTACAGCTTATCCATAGCAGTGTGCGACGAATGCAGTCGAAGCTGTTGAATTTGCCGCGTGCGGCAAATGCGACACAGCAACAGATCTACGAGTATAATTTCGAAACATCAAGCTCTTCATCGCCCATTAAGATCTTTGAAAACGTGGTGCTCGTGCCATATGGGTATTTGCAGTTGCCGCTTTATGATCACCGGTTGGATGATTTGTTTCAATATTCACTATTTGGCTTGATTCTTGCTCACGAGATTATGCACGCTTACGACCTCTTTCACATTATCTACGATCAGCATGGCAACTTTAATCCGTTGGGTTTGGATGTGGCGCAACATTATTGGAGCTTCATTAACTGTACGCGGACAACGGAGTTAAATGCCGTGCTCTCCGAGAATATGGCCGATGTGGCGGGCTTACGTCTGGCGTATCAAACCTACTTCGGTCCGGACGAGATCAGCGCAGCTGCAGAGCAGTCCCATAATATTACTGCAGATGAATCAAAAGCTGATTCGCTCGTTGAAAAAGACAGCCCTACGAAAAGTCAACAACAAACTGTCATTGGTGATGATGTCATCCCTAATAGCTTTGCAAATTCTTCTCTGAATGACGCTTCATTTCGCCTATGGCTCGGTAATTTCACGCGCCCGCAGCTCTTCTTCATCAATTCGGTGCAGTTTTTATGCGCTAACATGCCGCGCATCGATGCGCTGAATGTGCAACCGCTGCACCTCGGCCATGACATGCATGATGTGCGCGTACGACGCAATTGGTTGAATTTGGAGCATTTTGCGGCCGCTTTTCAGTGTGCACGTGACACACCGATGAACCCGACCGAGAAATGCCGCTGGTGGTGAGCTGCTTAGCGAGTGCCCGAATGGTGCGACTGTCCTTCGATGAGGTTTATTATTCTAAAGCGGATTATAGCTTGCTCTTTGTAACAGTTATGTACTACTTTTTATTTATGTTATGATTTTGCATTGCTCTCTGTGAGATGTCGACAATTTTTGCAACTATGTAAATTTAACCGCTTGACCGCTTTTCATAATGTACTAGGTAGCTTTTATGCATGAGCAAAAATATCTTGAAGACTTACCTTTTGTGGTGGCTACTTCTTTACTCGGTGCTCGTAGACTATTTCTGAAAAGAAAAAAAGTTTCACAAAATTAATAATATAAAATACTCGAAAAATACTACATTCTTTAATGATATAACAAAAAAGTATTTATATATGTATGTGTATGTATGGATGTCGAAATATAGACGGAATAAACTAAAACGTTGTCTAATTTTTATTTCGATCTGAAAGCTTGTTGAAACTTCAAATTGAAAGATGAAAAGAGAGGAAGTCGAAAAGAGATCAATCACAAGAAAAACGTTAACTTCGGTTGCACCGAAGCTATAATATCCTTCATAATTACAAAATATTTCTTACAAAAACTTTGATCGGTCAGTCTGTATGGCAGATATATGCTACATACAAATATATTTCTTCGGATGTTGTATCATTGTGCAATGAGTATAACCCACGATAAATTTCGGGAAAACCACTTGTCAACATACAAGCACTTGATTCTGATCGTTTAGTTGTATGGCAGTTATAAGCTATATTGATCTGATATCGGCCATTCCGACAAATGAGCAGCTTCTTGGTGAGAAAAAGACAGGTGCAAAATTTCAGATCGATATCTTAAAAACTAAGGGCCTAGTTCGCATTATATAGAAAGACGGACATGGCTATATCGACTCAGCTAGGCACGCTGTTCAATTATATATATAATTTATAGGGTATTATACGTTCTCTTTTGGGTGTTACAAACGTCATGGCAAACTTAATATAGCCTGTTTTATACCCTGAAAACTCGCAAACTTTGTTTGGATGGCCGTAAGATAAGTATCATATTTATTATAAAATCAGCTGCGAAAAAGGAAGCTATTATAAAAGAAAATATAAATTTAAACGATGTTCATAAACTAAAATCAGACATAATATTTATCGACATTCTTTAAATGGCGTGAGCAATCGGATATCAAATGATTTTGTTCCGCACACCAAAAACGTACAGCAAAAGCCGAAAGCATCTTCTTTCGCCAGTGTAAAAGATTTTTTTCCAAAAACACATGTGCTCGTATTAACAGAACTAGGCTGATTGGTGCCTCATTCAGAATTTCACTGTAACTTTACGCTAGCTCTGCCATGAAGGAAAGGCGCAAAGGCTCACCTACTCGTACTGAGTCGAGCTATGAAAGATTTAGTTTTTACTAAACACAACAGGCTGGCAAGTAAAAAGGAAATGTATACTACAATCGCATAAAGTTTGATACAAGTATTTAATTCAATTAAAGAAACAACTTTTCAGACGGTAAAAAGTTCAATTTATTTTCATATACTCTTTCTGTAAAGGACTGAAGGCACTGTGTGAAACTGTTAGGCTCTTAAATGGAATTGAAAATGTGCTGGTAATTTGACAAATTGAGCTTGGGAACGTAAACGAAGGCAAACGTGCGTTTGTTATTACGCTCAAAGTTTCATACACATACAGACATCTGGCGTGTTCGTACTGCGCTTTTGTATTATTCTGTCGATGGAACATGCAACAGTCCAACATTTTTGACATTTACCAATTTACCGAAATCCCAAGTTACAGACTGACAGAGATACCAGTTGTTGTTGTGTTGCACAGCCCATTTCGTACTGTCAAGCATTGGCGCAATCTCGGTAAAAATCAATACCCAGCACCGAAAATGAAGTCATGTCCTTTTTTATACAGAATTTTTTTTTTGGCATTTTTGTATATATTTTATTTAGTATTCTCGGCACTGCCTTCCGTAATCGTATATTCCACAGCTCGTCGGTGTGATCAAAAATCAATACTTGGCAAATTGCAACACTGCGAAATGGAACAAAACATAACACAAACAATAAGAAAAGCTCTTGCGAACCAACAAATGCTAAGCTTTATAAATATATACAGCATATATGCATATTTGCATATAGTTGCAAACACAAATATTCATGGGTATGTGCAATATGCAGCCAACAAAATTCGAACGGCTGCCAGTTGACGGTTGCCGGTTGACACTTCAGTTACCGGCATGCCCAAATTTCCGACACCCGCTTCCTGTTTGTCCTTCGGCAACGCCACCACTGAAAACAACCGTAACGAAGAGTTGGGGGTGAAGCATCAGCACTTCATCTCTGAAATGGGGAATACCACATCAATAAGTCGCACAAATTGAATTCAATGAATATAGCTAATATTTTTGTTATTGCTATATGCAGCTTTTCGAGTTTTTTGTGCGCATTTTTCGAGTAAAGCGATGCAATTTGCAACGGAAATGTAAAATATCAATTCGAGTCCAAACGCTAGTGGCACACTTAATGCATATTGGCATTCTTTTTAGATTCCTGCTAATTGATTTGGTCATCCATTAGCGAATTAACATCCGACATCGATAGTGGGAATTCGAAATGTATGAAAATTTGCGCTGCGCTAATTTCGACAGAAAATCGAAGTCTCGGAGTGGAACACGAAATTTTACACCAGTTTGTAATGAAAATGTAAATAAATCAGTGAGATGCTGCAGGTATCGTGAAAAATGAACATACTCTATTTTGTGTCTGAATTAACATATTTAAGGCATGAAGATTTCAGATCGATATATTAAAAATTGGGACAAATTTTTGCGTATACTCGTATACAGACCGACAGGCGTACATCTCTAGACCAACTCAGCACGTCATGCTGTCCATTTATGTTTATATACTTTATGCGTTTCTTCTGGGTGTTACAAACATTGTGGCAAACTCAATATATACGGTTCGGGGTATAATATTATAATATTGGGCAAAGGTAACGAAAATCCCACGTGGTCTACCCTGGCATTTGCATTAAATTACGCAAATCATTTGAAATACACCAACCGACGATTATGAAAGCGTGCAGTCACTGAGTCATCGATAGATGTATTCGCAACGGCACCGCTAATGCCATTAGAAATAAGTAAGGAGCTGCTATAATTGGGTGAAGCTGATTACCATACACGTCGTATACTTAAAAAGTGTAATTAGTATAACCTTTTAAGATTTTGAGATTGTCAAAGCGGGTGCAGGGAAACGAGTCTTTGGTATGGAAATTTTGAGATAGAGCCAATTGATTTCATAAAGTTACTAATATTTTGAGGTTCACCAAATTTTTTGTAAGGCTATAAAAAAGGTTGGATGTATGGATGGATTACACAATTTTTTTTTTTTAACACAGGACACGGGATGAGTGTTGTGACACGCGGTAAATAGTTTCATAATTGCTCCACTTTTAATCTGTTAATACAAAGTAAAGCTATTTTTACAAAGTTACAATACCCTAGTGCAAATTGTGCTCTTTACAAAAAGTTCAGTGCAAATGAAAACAAGTGCGAGCCACGGAAACTCATAATAAAGCGGTTGCGTGAAACAATAGCAACTGCATGAAAAATATGAAAAATAAACTTTAATACTTTAATTTCTTTAGTATTTACATATTAAAGTTGCCTAACGATGTGTGTTGTTTTAGCTTTACTTCATGCCGTGATTATGTTGTTAATGGAGCTGCGATTTGTTTCCGCTCGCATATGGCGCGTCACACCTACGGCGCCACTGATGACTCGCAAAAGGAAGGCTGCAAGTAGGCGTGTGCAGCGGATGACGATTATTGCTGCCAAACTTTTGTTAATGACACGAAATTGCCATAACATTTTTATGTCGATGTGGCAACGCTGGTTACAAAAGACATACACGAATGCTAATGCTAATGCTAAATACAAATGCTATTTAATGCGGTTGCATGCAACGCGCCAAGTCCTATTAAGTCTTACAGCTAACTCTAATTGAATGCCTGAGTGAGCATGTGCGAATGCAAATAATATAATTGTTTGAGTCTATGGTACATACCATATATCTATATCTTCTAATTTTGATAGCGTGGATACATTTATATTGGAAATTCTATAGTCTGTTTTTATGTATATACCTACATATGTATGCTTCGATATGTTACGTGTTCGTATGCATGTATGTAAAGTAAGGCGCAAAAGAGTAATGCTTGTTTTCTAAGTGCGCTCTCGCTTCGCAATGTAAGTCAATGCTTGATAATTGTCGCGAGGCGTCGATGATGTAATACCGGCGTATTTTGCAATTTGATAGCCTAACCTACACAAAAACGTTATATAACAACAACGAAGTGTGCCGTGAAAAAAGAAAGCCGCAAAATGTATGACGCATAAAAAAACGAAATATGCATTTTGCATATGATTACTGAAAGAAAATACACATATACAAGTACATATGCATATCTACCATATATTCAATGAAATTAGGTCCATTATTTTTACATTAAATACCAAGCATTTATTTAACATAGTTTGAATGTTTCAATTTATGTCGAATATGCATGGTTTTTTCTATAACGAAGGTATTTATAAAACTTCTACGCTGATGAAGTTAAAAGATGCATAAGCATCCCAGTCATGCTCCCGGAGCTTCTGGCAAGTCACTATCGATATACATATGTGGTATAGCGTTGTCTTGCTGGAACACAATTCCATTCCTATACGCCAAAGCTGACCGCTTCTGGGCGATTGCTGCCTTCAGACGGTCCATTTGCTGCCAGTACAGGTCTGAATCAAGAGTTTGATCGTAGGGAAGTACCTCATAGCAGAGCTTTGAACTTCTCTTTGCATCCAGTCTTATTTTATCCAAACGTTTTTATGCAATGTTTAGCTCCTGGAAAAACAGTGCTGAAATGACGATCGTCGAGTTCAGATTTTCTTTATTTTATCGATCTTTTCGATAATTGCGAATGCCTGTTACAGTATCAGGACCACAAACACTATTCACATTTTCAGCCACCTGGCTTACGTTTTCATCTTTATCGAAACTGTAAAATATGGCGTATCTTCTCTTTGCTGGTGTCCATCTTTGACGTATGCTGAGTTAAACAAGCATAATCCACCGAACGGGAGTGGCATGGCGTATGCGGAACGTGGCATTATTTAACACAATTAGAAGGCAAATAAATATATGGAAATGCTTACATGAACTCATTCAAATTTAAGTGGAACGTTTCAATTTTAAATGCCGATAAACTGTATAGATTATTTTCCAACAACATTTTGATTAAATACATTAAATGGTTTTAATGGGCTTAGTGCTATTATCAAGCATTTAGTTTGCATAATGCATGCTACAACTAAGTTACACAGCAATATAAATATATTTAGTTGAAA